AAAATATGTCATGCAGATAGAATTGAGTGAGTGAATGAATATAAGTAAGAGGATGAATTTTTTTTTAAAAAATTCCGTAAAGTATGCTTGATAGTTACTGGGAACATAAATACCTTCCTGATTGAAACCTAGGAACTCTCTGATCTATTTGTCCCAGTGTTTCTTTCCCATTTTCCATGAGAGGTATTTTCTGTTGGCATCAATACTCTTTCAGAGGCTTAATGGTATCCTTTTGTGGGTATTTAGTGTTTCCTCTCTGCGTGATAATTCCTTCTCTTTTGTTTTCTGTCTTGAAAGGTGTCCCTTTGTACTCCCAGTCACTGACTCCTCAACTAGGAAACATTGCCTAACAGATTTTGTACCTCCTGTTTATAAACAGAAATAAGAAAATCCTTAAATATACAGCTTTTAATATTTAATAAGTTAACAATATTTAATAAGTTATAGCATGCTTTATTTCACTCGGTTATGACCATACAGTGTTATCTAATATTGGTGTTCTGTCGTATCATTTATGTTGAATTGAATAATACCAAGACATAGTTGTCAGAATATCTGTTATCAGGTAAAGTTCATTAAATTGATTTTGCTGTTTTAATTTCTTGGCCTTCAATGTCATATTCAGTTTTTCTTTAGGACTAAAATTAGGATTCCATGGAATTTAGGACTGGAATCCACAATTCTTTGCCTTATATTGCTATGACCCAGAACAAAGAATAAAAACATTGTAGGTCTTCAAAACAAGGGATAGGAAATCAGCAATGGTTGCTGTAATGTCTCATTTTCTTCAAAATAGCTGTTTATATCATCACACATAATAAAATCAACTCTTGTAAACTCTTCAGGAATTCTAGGCATGTATAATCTTATATATGTACATCTATCCTTCCTGTTTTAGAGGAAAAAACAAAACAAAATATAAGAAAAGCAATAAACAAAAGATAAATGACAGTAACAGAAAACTCAAACCATAATAATATCAGCTTTCTAAACAACATGGTAGAAACATTACAAAGATTGTTATTTTGTACAGTTATCTTCAAAAGTGTTGCTTGCTCAGATTACCAGATATAGACATGCAAACTTGATCTAATCCTATGAAAATTAACTGTTTTGGTTCCAAGAATGAATAGAGTTAGTAATATAATCATCTTAGCTATGTTAAGTGTAAATATACAAATTTGCATCTTTTTTTCTTTTCTCTTCCTTCACCTCTCTTTTTCCCTGAGTTATTTTTTCCCTTTGAGCAGTTTCTTACCTTTTCACAATATTTATTGAAGATTTTGCATCATATTTACTCTTTCAAATTCTTACACTAAGGAGACAATATGGTATTTACACATGTGAGTTTGATTTATTTCACTTATGAATACAGTCTAAGTTACATCTATTTACTTATAAGGCCTCAATGTGATCCTTATTTAAAACTGATTAATATTCCATTGCATAAAAATACCACATCATTTTTAGCATTCCTCAGTTGATGTGAAAACAGTTTTTATTTGTTTTCTCCAATGTTTACTTTTTAAAGATCATTAGGTTTCTCATAATCCACCCTGGTAAAAATAAAATTTATTTTCTTTGTTTTACTGACAGTCCTTAACTTACTCAATGCCTTCTGCAAAGCATATTTTTGGACTAATTTAATTTAAAACTAAGTCAGAAAGGAAGCTAAAGAAAAGATAAAGGCAGCATTCATTAAAATGTATATACTTTCAACTACCAATGGTTTTAATAGAAGAACATTTCTCTTATATTTGTGTAAGAAATTTAGAGTAGTAGATTTAATATTTTAAAAGAATTTTCTTTCACCTGTGTCTCTTCCATTACCTAATTCAAATAGTAGTCAGCTACAGTCATTTACTGAATTACTATCAATCAGTCAATTTCTCTTCAGTTTATTTTCCAATGTTGGTAGTGTTTTTTTTTTTTAATTCCCATATCAAGGCATAGTAAGCATGTCTCTAGGATCAATTATCTGGCTTCCTTTGAGTTGTTCTGGCTTCCTTTTAAAACTATTATTGGAAGGTAAATAGGAGTTGATATACTCAGTCTAAAATTATCCAATCTGAGCAAATCCAGACACATTCTTCCTTTGTGTATGTTCACAGAATCTCAGAACATTGGTCCATGTTTCTCAAGACAAAAAAGGAAAAAAATAAAAGATTACAAGAAGGCACAAAAGAAGCATCGATACGTCGTGTACATGTTACAACTCCCCATGATGATTGTAATCATTATAGACTGAAAACATGTTCTGTTAAAAATAAATAAGGAATGGACAAAATACAAAAAAAAAAATTTGCAAAGGAAATATCTGAAAACACTAAAAAAAGGCCCACTTCTATTGTAATATGAGTAAAGAGAAAAATTGAATAATCAATTGTGGTACAAATATGTCTGTGACTGCAGTCACAGAAAAAGAAAGTTTCCATGAGCCTTAAGTTTTCTCTAAATTATGATACAGTACTGTCAGAGGGCTATATGATTGAGACCTTGGAGGCATAGAGCTATGGAAGGACAAAATAATCAATTTTCAGTGTAAGTAGAAGTGAACACATGGATAATGGCTTCTCTAAAGAAAAAAAGTTAATTTTTCAGATATAGGTAATTTTTCCTATGTGATTTTTAGTATCTATTTCATATTTTTGATCATTAGGTTATGGTGAAAAGTTAATTTGTTAGATTTCTCCTGTAGTATTTGACTGCAAAGTGAGAGTGATATATAAATTAAATTTCTGAGTTTTTAACATTGGTGTGTGGTATACAGCTTTCATCTCTTTTCTTACAAATTAACGTTGAAAAAAGAACAAGCATCTCTGGTGAAATTCTGAAGCTAATAATCAGTGCCAAAGACTGATATTTTGACTAAATAGTGAGAAAAATGTACCGATTAAAAGGATAGAAAACATTTTTATTAAGTGCTAAAGTCAGACCTGAGCATCTTCAACCTTAAATGAAATCTTAGGTTTTCTTAAGTAATTAATATTTGACACATAGTCTCACTGAGTTGCTTAAATGGCTGTCTGGGATTTCACTTCTCAGAATGCTAGAAATGCAAACCAGGCCCATCAAACTAAGCTGAGAAAATTTTTTTCTTAGAGCACAAACCATTTCTAGGATGATCTCTGAATCTGGGAAATATCAGCCTCCATATCTTTTCCCATTTACTTAATTTTCCAGAGAGTGGATTTTTTTCTGGTTAAAGTAAAGAAAAAAAGTGGTCTTGACCGATGAAACGTAAGCCTTAATAATAGTTACAAGTGGAAGAACTGTTAAGGGTTATCACTGCCGCAAAAGCATTGTACATTATAAGAGGTATGTGGTAAGCAATGGGATATACTTGACAGAGAATGAAATAGTAATATTTGTCTGTGCTACATCAAAGGAGAATTTTTCAATTATATCAAAAGATACCTGAATTCGGTTCTTGACAAGTCTTTTTCTCCTATGTCTTCCTGCTTTACACCATTATTTTGAAGTTGCCAGTGTACTCCTACAGTACAGCAAATTCCTGCAACATCGCAAGTTAACCACTTCTACCTAATATCTGTCAGTCTTATATTCCTTCCAGAAATGTACTTGTTGCAAAGAATTTCCTTCTGACTTTTAAAACTAACAGATATTTCAGAAGAACACATTATTGATTATACTCATGATTTAATGGAGCAGAGAGAGAGAGCATAAAGTCTTTGGAAAAGGAGTTTCTAGAGATTTACAATCAAGTGATTTCATTTTGTGATGAATCTAAAGACAAAGATGAAAAGAATCTGGCCATGTTATCTTTCCTCTCACACCTAGTTCTGACTGCAACAGTATTTAACTATAGTTCCATCTGCCTCAGAGGTTTTATAAGTACTGGATCCAATTTAGCTGCTATTAACTATTTTCCCTCAAAATAGGTACTGTTTACTATTTAAGCATGGAGCAATAAAAGAGATAACCATTGGATTCAATATTGTAAATCAAATACAGGGAAAAAACTTGAATGTTCTAAATTATGGAACTAAAATCACAACTAGATACCTAACAGAGCAGATGCCAAATTTTGCAAGAATGACAGTAAATTAAAAAGAACAACAATAGGTTTCATACTTATAAGATTGCTGATATTTAACTTCCAGTCCAAGCAAGCTAAGGTTCAGTGAAAAGCATTTGAGTGGCAGAAATGATACGAAGGTGAGACTCAAACTTCATTGAGAGAAACTCCATTTGCAGAAAAAGGAAGGTGATTATTCCTAGTTACCAGGTGACTCTTTGAATAATACTATTAATTAACAAAACACATCTAAGGAACAATCCACAGAAACATGAAACAGATTTTTCCAACTTTGTGAATGCTAGTTTAAAGAATGATTTTATTCTCTTTAGTGAAAACACAATGGATACAATTTGGTCAAAAATAAGTAAAATCTTCAGATATTTTAGTTATTGTGTTGGTGAAATATCAGATGAATCTTCAGGAGCAAAGGGAGAAAGATATATGGAAATAGAATTTTATAAATAATGTTTAGTGATGTTTAACAACCAAAGCTCCTATTCATCATCAATCCAGATGGAATATTTCATTTGTTGTTCCTAAAGTAACAGAACAATGGATGTGATCAACTTAGATTCCTTCCAACACTAGTAGTTCATAGTTGGTGATGATTTTCTACTGTATTGTTCATTTTGTAATGGATCTTACTAAGATTTGTCTAAGTCATGTTAAGTTGTGATAACTGACTCACCATTCACAATCTTTTATTTATATTTAATAAAGAGACTAAAGTCATTCTGAAACTATCCCAAGAAATCAAAATATTTATTAATGCAAACTGAAAAAAGTTTTTGAGACTGGGATTGATCCTCAACAAAGACAAGTTTAAGGCCAGCTCCAGAAAACCCATCAAAATAATACCATGGAAATCCTATACTATGCGATTCATAAGTTAAAAACAAGAGGATCATAATTATTACTGCATTTTCATAAACAATATTTGCATAGATGTAAAATAGTGTCATATTTTAGCTTTAGGATAAAATCCTCCCCAGGCGATCATTTTCCGAATGGCCACCTGAACATCCTTGTTCCTGAGGCTATACACCATGGGGTTCAACAATGGAGTCACAACAGTGTAGGTCACTGTGACTAGCCTGTCTTTGCTAGATGAGTACTTGGTTGAGGGCCGCAGATAGACAAAGGAGGCACAGCCATAGTGGACAATAACCACAGTGAGATGGGAAGCACAAGTAGAAAAGGCTTTTCGCTTGCCTTCAGCTGATGGAATCCTCAGGATGGCTCGAACAATGAAGCCATAGGAGAAGCAAATGAAAGTCAGAGGGACCATAAGAGCTAGGACTCCACCAATGAAGATGACTAGCTCATTGATGTAGGTGTCAGTACAGGCAAGTTGGATAACTGGTGAGATGTCACAGAAGTAGTGGTTGATTTTGTTTGGACCACAAAAAGGTAGTTCAAAGACTAAGAGGGAGTCTAAGAGTGATAACATAAAACCAATTCCAGCACAAGAAGCTGCCAACTGTCCACATATCTTCCAGCACATAAGGACTGGATAGCGAAGTGGGTGGCAAATGGCAACATAACGATCATAACCCATCACCCCAAGGAGCATGCAGTTAGTGATGGCAAAACCGAGGAAGAAAAACATCTGTGTGGCACAGTTAGTGAATGAGATGGTTCTAAGCAGAGACAGCAGATTTATGAGCATCTTGGGCAGGATGACCAGCGTATAGCATGTCTCAGAGATGGAGAGGATTCCTAAGAAGAAATACATAGGTACATGGAGACTGTGATCCAGGCGGATGACAGTAACAATAGTGATATTTCCACTCAGGATAATCATATACAGGCACAGAAAAAGAGCAAAGAGAATGAGCTGGATTTTTCCAAGACTGGAGACTCCCATCAATAGGAACTCTGTTACAGATGAGAAATTGCCTTGGTTTACTTGATCCCAGAGATTAACCTAAAGAGAACAGAAACAGACAAACAAACAAGAAGAAAGTAAACCACTTAGTGTACCCAGGAAAATGCAAGAGCTCCACTATAGATAATAAATTAGAGAAGTGATAAGTTATGTTGGTTAGTAGGAAAGGCTCTATTGATAATGTCTTTCATAGCACTGTTTCAAAGCACTACAATTTTTCCTGCTGACCTATGTGTATGTCTTTTTAATGATCTTTTATCATGCTTATGTCAGATAGCTATTATAAAAAATAAAAATATTCTATGCAATAATCCAGTCTCTACCATTAGTTAACAGTAGAATCCTCTGTGGCTTCTTTCTTCCTTTACAGTGTGGAGATACAAATATTACCTGCTAGGATTTTTATGAAGATTAAAGCATTTTAACTGACTGGATATTTTAAGGTTTTTGTAAACATCAACTTTTTCTACATATGGTAGTTAATTTTCAGCAAGTGGCTGGCAGTTTTTCTGGTTTATGTTGATATATACTTACATATATATATATATATATATATATATATATATATATATATATATATATAATATATGTATATATTAATGTACTCAGGTGGATATACACTTAAAGCATACCAAAATAAACCAGAAAAACTGCTAGCCACTACTACATTTTACTGCTAGACAGTAAAATGACAGGGTTTAAGCAATACTGTCATCAATCTATTAGACCAACATCCAAATGCAATTCCTATTTGGGTTTGTTTGTAACGACAATAATATTGTGCTGACTCTATCTTATCCATTTGTTTAATCACCCAGCCTCTCTGACCCTCTTGATTGAGGGGAGTTGGAAGGACCCTAGCACATACAGAGACAGTGCATATTAAGTAGTTCTGGAGACATCTAAAACTCTCACAGTCAGGACACTATCAATCCGTCAAGAAGATGGAACTGATCTAGAAATCTGTGGGAATTGTATTTTCAAGCTTTAAGATGAATTATACTAATTCCTCAAGCTACTCTTCTATAGGAGCCATTGTAGCTATTCATCCCTTTTCCCTGGATTTCCAACCGAATTTACTATTGCATTGAACACTCTTGATTTTGAGGTGTTACAGCCCCTCAAATACTTCTTACTACAGAACTGACAGATGTTGTCCATTTTATTCAACTAACATCAAATTTGAATTTAGCAAATTGATTTTTAAAAAGCCTCCAAGTGTGACTGCTTATACAATAACAATATGTAAGTTATCAACTGGTGATTTCTTACTATTATTTCTTTTTCAAATTTTGTATTATTTCTACCCTTTTTACATTTTGCTTTTTGTCTCTAAATTTAAAAAAAAGCCTTCAAGAAAGTATTTGAAGAACGTGAAAGCACCAAGTGATTTACAAAATAAATATTCTTTAGCTAATATAGCACCTAGGACCACCTAGGAGCTGAGTCCTCACATTGGATGCAGAATTCTTTCACTGGCTACCACATCTGAGTATTTTTACCCTGGCTTCCTTCTCATTTAAAAGAGGGCTTTGAGCAGAAGTTATGCCTTGTGTTTCTATCCAAATGAGTTATAATGACTGATAGGCTAATGGTCAGATTGCTAAATTGCCTGAATAGATTAAGTCATATCCCCACTAACTTATTCAGTAATTACTGTGTTCACTTATTGATAAATAAAACATTTATTACCAGTGTGTTACAATTTTTAGGGTATTCAAGCAAAGTACCATTCTTATCAGGAATGATGCTAAATCACCTTGCTGTCTTCATGAGTTGTTTTCTCCTTTCCCAAAATGCTTCTGCAGAAAAACTATTTTCTTAAGACTCTCTCTTCTGTACTTTTTCCTCATCATTTTCCCTTTGCCTGGAAAATCTGTATTCACTTTGATCACTCAGTTAGAAACTTCAAGCTCATACTACTTTGGTTTCCAAAGGTAAAAAGTGTTATAAATTTTCCTTTTAAAGGTTATTTAGCAAATTTTATTATATTCTGAATAGACTATGAAATATATATGCCTCTTCCTTATTATGTATAAGAATGTAAATATTTTGGAGAAATGTTTTATCCCTCATAAAATCTAAAACCAAATTACTACTAAGAAGCTAATTGGTAATTAATTGACTATTACATATTTGTTATGTGTAGTGAGTAATTGAATTAAAACTTTTTAACTGGCATATGTTAAAGACCTTATTTAAACACATGCAAAAGATGGTAATATTTTTATCCTTGGAAGGAGATATATGGGCACGGATATCCAGTCAGCAGCTTGGTGGATCATATTGCGTTGTTATACTTATGTAGTCTATGTGATCATTTATCACATGATCTATTATTTGCAAGCAAGAACCAGTACTAAAACATATGAATTACCAGTTAGTGTCTTTCTCTGACCTTGACCGTTTACAATACTTTACAGATCAAATGATAAGTATCAAAACAGACACCATTAGTTTTTTCCCTCGAGAAATTTAATTTATTTACCTCCTCAGTTTCCATCTTTGAAACTCATGCAGTAAATCATTTGTCCACAGAAAGCTAGAATAGTGGTTTTTTAAAAGCAGAAGTTCTGTAAAGAAAGGTAGCTCAATTAGATGATTCTTTTACTCTTACATTACTAACTAGATTTTTCTAAAATATTTTGTCACCAGATCACACTTTCACATTATGTTTGAGAATGGAAAATCAATACATTAGTTATTAAGAGCCCCTTATTAACAGACAGTGATGGCTATCTGTCTTTTCTTTTTAAATTATTCAGTATGATTTCCTAGTCGTTTCATCCTTTCAGAGATAATAGTGAAGCAGTCAGCACCACCAACTCTAGAGAGCATATTTAATAGCACTTGACAAAAGCTTTTGTTGCACTTAATACAGTTCAGTTTATAATACTTTATCTTGCCTCTAGGTTCTATACTGTCTTCTGTATTCTCAAATATGTATATATATATACATATTTTTATATATACTAATATATATATATATATATATATATATATATATATATATATACCAATGACACAATTATAATGATGTCTTTCCTAACATACTCTTGTTTCATCATCACTAATTAACTAGATAGGTAGACTAAAGTTCTTGACAAAATTAGGCATTTCTAACAGTCTTCCTGGTGACTAACACCTCTGTAGCAGAAGATCAAAGTACTATCTTCATTCAATTTTTCTGTTCCCTAGCTGAATTCAGTGAAACCTAGTATTACCTTAACCATCTCTATTTTTGAAAAGACTGTATTCCACTCCATTCTACCACTGTACGTCAATGCCCAGAGCCATATCCTTATCTTCTCTGCTAAGAATCTTGAGAATTATCCCCAATCTACCACTGAAAAGTACTTTTTTCTCTTATTAGTTATGTGCTCAGTGTGTTGGTTGATAGTCACACTTCTCAAAACTCCAGGGAGCCATTATTGCAATATTATTTTTGGAACAGTTTCATCTTTTCTCAGTGAGCAAAGGGGACACATGAATCTGAATCTCACAGGTCCAGTAGAGAAAAGAGGAAAAAGGGAAAAGGAAAACTCATTGACATTGGCTATTAGTTGGGTTTCACTCTGAGGTTCCCTGAAGGCTCATTAGATGCTATAACTGTTGTAAATTAAAGGAAAGAAAATGAACACAGAAAATCCCTGTTACACGAATTAATGTAAGGTAGTCCTTGTTTAGGTCTTTACTATTTGGTAGAAGTTTTCTTTTTTTCTTGCAGTTCACCACGACAAAGAAAGCCTGGCTTAATCATTTCCACTGGGAAAAAAATAGGACTTTTCCTTTTAGCCTACATTCATCTGAAATCTATAGATTCAATTACTGTAGCATGGAAAACAGAATGAGATGAGGGTACAAAGGAAGGCATTCAGGGAGACTTTCTCGGGCAAAACTGAATTCTTGAAGCAATAAAGTTCAGATTTGGAGACCAAAAGAAAGCTGTAGAGTATTTAGAGCCAGGTTGTGGAGACATTACCTGCTTTTACCTACCCTTCTGGAAACGTTTTTTACCTACCCTTCTCCCAAATGTCTGTTCTAGGGGTTGGAAATAGGAGTAAAATATTGAGGCTAAAACATCCTAGAGAGCTTGGATAGTTTTCCCAGTTATTCCCTCTGTCCATCAGCTCACCGACAGTCTGATTCAAGATAGCTAATGGGGGCTATACATCTGGAGGGAGAGCAATTAAGTGCCTCTCTATGATTGAGTACTGGTGTTTCCCTACTGTAGATATCAAATAGGGCTGAAAGTCAAGTTCTTTATTTCTGGGTTGAGGTGACACTTTTTTCTAGACCTTCAAGTTCCTTACAAATATTTAGTTGCCCTCCTTTATAAGTATGGAAAAATCCACCTTTTCTACTCTCCTTTCAGCTTTCATGAGTGGCACAAGAAGAAGGCAGAGGGAATGGGAGAGCGCAGTAAGGTCTTTTCCACTTCCGGGGCTCCTAGCAGAGATGTCTATGTCTGCAGTTCCAAACAGCTGCCCTCTAACCAGCAGAAATTCCCAAATGAGATGGTTCCTGACTCAGAGTGCTTTCCCTTCCAATTATACCAACAGCTGTGACAGGCAGCCAACAGAGGTCAAGCAACAAGCTACTGCTGTGTCCAGCAATTTTCAAGCATTCATAACCATCCTTAAATGGCAATTGAATTTCTGAATTTCTGGGTCATCTGGTCTGCTCAGTCTTCTTGAATAAACATTTCTTCATAGACTGCCAACCATCTTCAGCTTTCATGCTACGTAACTCTTTAAAGAAATCTGTCTAAAGACCTCTAAGGAGTTTCAGAATACACACACACACACACACACACACACACACACACACACACACACACATATCTGTAGTTGTGGCAGTTGTTGGGGCTCAGAATCTGTGGCAGTTGTTGGGGCTCAGACTTCCCAGTAAATTCTATATTAAAACAATTCTAATTTCATGTTCTAGTCTTTAGAACTCTGTGAAATAAACACTTATGAGAATCTTTCCATTACTTTTCTCTCTACCCTAAATTTTCCAAAAGCATATATATATATATATATATATATATATATATATATATGAATGTTAATTGTCTTAAAAGCAGAAAAGATAACAAATAAACAGAAGACGTTGTAGGTCAAAGATAGAGGTAAAAAATACAAAATATGAAATCTTAAAGAAGGGAATTAAAACAAAATGTCTAATAAAGAAAATCAGAAAACACTGTTGAACTGAAAAATTAGGTATTAGGTATCATGAACACAGATGTTACATGATGCTTAGGCCTCAGTGTGACCGTGTAATGTGAAATCTATAAAACGTGGTAGATAATTTTAATGTATTGATGTGAGTGAGCCATTGAGTGCCCAGACATTTGATTAAATATTTTGAGTGTGTTTGCCTTCTTAGATTGCCATCCTCAGTGTGGGTGAGTTTGATTCAATCTGATGCATACCTGAATAGAACAAAAATGGCTGAGTCTGTGAGGGTTCTCTTTACTGTATTTCTTTGAGCTATGAATTTGCTCTTCTCTCAACTTTGGACTGAGATTCTGACTTGAACTCACAGTATCTGATTTTCTTGCTCTCTTGCTGCTTGTGGGATTTCTCAGGCTCCCTAACTACATAGTCCTTTATTATCTCTTTTTCTCGCCCCACAACTCTCAGCCTCAAAGTATACTGAGAAAAAAACTTCTATAGGTTCCCAGTTCCCAGGTCACAAACCAGAGCTGCTCAGTGCCTCTTAGACCCAGGTGACACAGCAGGAGGTGACTGGCAGGGGAACTTCATCTGTATTTAGGACCTCTCCAGATAGCTCTGGTTACTAACTGGTTTTACTACCTGTGTCACATCAGTGGCTGTGTTAGATTCTCATAGGAGCACACATCCTACTATGTCCTGTGCATGCAAGGAATCCAGATTGTGCACTCATAACCATAATCTAGTGTAATAATGGTAGAAATGAAGTACACAATGTAGTAATAATACATGCAATGTGCATGAAAAATGTAAAATACTTCGATCATCCTGGAACCATCCCTGCTCACCATTTCCTCTATGGAAAAATTGTCTTTTCAGAAACCAGCCCAAATTGCCAAAAAGTTTAGGATATCTGACTACTTTTATTTTTCAAGTGAAAGAATTATAGAAAAGAAAATTTATTGGCTTAAGAAAAACTTAAGAGAATCAAAACAGATATGATTAGATATGGTTTAACTTAGGGACTTGGATTATATCACTATGCTTAGTTTCAAATCATAGATCAACCTCTGAAAAACATCCTCATCCTCATTCTTTTTTTTAAACATATACTGTATCACAAATTATGTTGCAATTATGATTGTATTTTTTCCTGTATTTGTCTCTATTAGATAACTTTTGGTGCACAATCTGGAGAAGAAGAAGAAAGATAAGATAGAGAAGAAACAGGAAGAGAAACAGAAAGAGAAAGAGAAAGGGAAAGAGAAAGGGAGAGGGAAAGAGAAAAGAAAAAGGAAAGGGGGACAGAAAGCGACTATTAGTTTGATCAAAACTCTGCTTGATTCCTCAACTACGTATGTGTGAAATATACACACAGCAATCCAGAGTGTAAAATAATTAAATAGAGACATAGAATATCTAAGAAAACAAGTTTTCAGGTAGAATCCAACAAAGTTACTTGTTTACTAAAATTAAAAGTATTAACAATTGTCAAATTAATGTAACAGAGACTCTATATGACATTCATCAGGTCCCAGATAAAATCTCAAAATAATTCACCTAAAACAAATTAGAAAAGCTATAATCTATTCAAAAACAAGTAATCAATACAAAATTGTGAAAATTAATAGCTCATGATTTTAAAGCATGATAAGTATGTCCAATTATACATGAAGATACTATACCAGCTACAGAAGCTTGATAATAGTCAAAATGAAAATAAATCTCCTTAAACATAATTAATTATTTTTAGTTTTTCACTCATTTGGAGTACTTCATCCCCTTACCTGGATTCTGAACATCTCTAAGTTTATTCTTATGAGAATCATATATTATAATAACACAGTAAAATTATTCAGCAGAAACTTTGCAGCCAGAATAGTAGAACAATATAGTCAAAGTACTGAAAGAAGAGAAAAAAAATCTGGCAACCAAAAGGCCAACAAGTAAAAACTGGTTCTTTCATTATTGCATTGAGACAAGAGTCTGATAATGTCATGTTAAATTTTACCATTGAGAGGAGGCACTGATTTCCTCAAGGTGGTGATGCTATAGGGCACTTGGTGGGATGTGGACTGAGGAAGTGTTTAAGTGATGGAAATATTCTGTATCTGGATCACAGTAGTGGTTACATATATGTGCATCATTTTCAACGTGTGACAAAGCTTACACTTAAAATGAGTCCTTTATATTGTATACAAATTGCATCAATATATTTGCTTAAATGATAAAATATAGATAGAGGAATATTTCTTTCTTCTTCCTTTCTTATTGTGTATGGCTGGAGATAAAAGCGAAGGCCTTTACAAAGAGCAACAACCCCATATTTTAAAAAACTATTTTTATTTTGAGATGGAGTTTCATGAAGTTACAAAGCTACTCAGCTTGGGCTCAAATTTGTGATACTCAGTCTCCCAGAATATTGATACTATAGGCATGTGCCACAGTGACCATCTGGGAATTTTATTAAAATTTGTTTTAGGAAACTATTTCCTAGCTGAGACACAGGGAGTGCTAAATATAACAGAAAAAAATAAATTTAACTTAATAAATATTTAAAAGCTTATTATCATGAAAAGAAACTTGATCCTTGCTACTCAAGAACCTGACAGGAAACTCCTGAGTTTAAGGCCAGCAAGAGCAATATAGCAAAGCGCTGTCTTAAAAAAAGAAAACAGAAATCATAAAATATATACAGAACATATGTCCTACAAATATTTAATTTAGTGTCCATAAGTAATAGAATTCAAACAATTTTAAGATAATCTTAAAAAATGAAAGAAATGGAACCATTTTATCAAAAGACATATGAATTATCATACTAAGTAGAGAGAAGTTAAAATAAGGAAAAGAATAAGGACATTAACTATCACTTCTTCTGTTTGCTATAGTACTGGAAATATCAGCCAGAACAATCAGGCAAGAGAAAGAAATAAATTTGTTTTGTGTAGGAAGACAGAAAGTTACACTGCCATTCCTTGACTGACCCTTCAAAAGGAATGCCAAAATCAAATCCACTTATGGATCATAGAGCAAACAACCAAATTCAGTGA